GCGTGCGCGGCGCGCGTTTCCAGGGCACGTGTGGGTGGTCCTGGCCCGGCGGCTGCTCCCTGTAACTCGGGAAGAGGAAAGCCATCGAGTTCAGCATTCCTCCTAGCAATAGCGAAAATGTCTATTTTCCCGAAAGTAGCCTTGAGACTTGAGGTTGAAAACTACCTTAAAGAGGGCTTTACGAATAAGGAGGTAGGTCAGAGAAACATGCTGAATGATATTTGCAAACATTCAAGTGTTTACACACCTTAGAGAAAAATAAGTCTAAAAGGAAACTTAATGTATGTACAGCCTTTGTTTCTTACTACTTGTCCTTCCGAGTGTGAGAATGCCAGTATCTTCCCGCAGGGATTTAATTCATACTTTCCGAGGGGAGAGGTGAGTGAGCTATGTTTTAACGCGTAGGAAAGGGGAAGAAGGGAGTGGGGGAGGCAGTTACCTTCCTGGCGGGCGCCCTGAGCATTTGTCCTGTTGAAAGATGCACGCTTGGTCCTAGCGCAGTGGTTCTCAACCTTGGCTGCACATTAGAATCACCTGGGAATCTTTAAAATCCTGATCTCTGGGCCTCATCCCCCGGAAATTCTGTTTCTTTGTTACTAATGTTGTGGCCCCGCCCCATAACAAAGAAACAGAATTTCCGGAGGATGAGGCCCAGAAATCAGGATTTTAAAAAGATTCCCAGGTGATTCTAATGTGCAGCCAAGGTTGAGAACCACTGCTCTAGAGGCTTGCTCTGGCCCGCAGGTGGAGGAGATGCTGTAATTCTCGAGTGCTTCTCACATGTCACTGGCTGTGTTCGGTGGTTTGCAGACCTTGACCTCTTCTCGAAATCTTTTTTTTTTTTTTGGTAGAGATTTCCTCCTCTCTGACGGTTCTCAGGTCAGAGAACTGAGGGTCCAAAGAATACTGTAACTGATCCACACTGACAGCTTTCAAATTACAGTCCTGAAATCCTAAGCTAAAGTTACAAATCCCAAGTACAGATTTGTGATCCCTCTAGGCAACTTCGTATTTTCCAAATCTTCGGTTTTCCATTCCAAATAAAGCCGCTTCAGTGTTACTCGTTTTTGAAAATGGTACTGAAGCTATGACCTTTAGAATTGATTTCTACACTTCTTTTTAAAATTAAATCTTTATTGTTCAGATTATTACAGTTGTTTCTTTTTTTTCCCCCCATAGCTCCCCTCCACCCGGTTCCCACCCCACCCCCTCCCCCTTCCCCCCCCCCCCCCCTCCCCCTCCCTCTCTCTCTCTCTCTCTCTCTCTCTCTCTCTCTCTCTCACACACACACACACACACACACACACACACATCCATCCATGGTGTGGCAAATGGTAAGAGTTCCTTTTTCTTCTTCCTCTTCTTAAAGAATACCTTTCAGCATTTCATATAATGCTGGTTTGGTGGTGATGAACTCCTTTAGCTTTTTCTTATCTGTGAAGCTCTTTATCTGACCTTCAATTCTGAATGATAGCTTTGCTGGATAAAGTAATCTTGGTTGTAGGTTCTTGCTATTCATCACTTTGAATATTTCTTGCCACTCTCTTCTGGCCTGCATGGTTTCTGTTGAGAAATCAGCTGACAGTCGTATGGGTACTCCCTTATAGGTAACTGACTTTTTTTCTCTTGCTGCTTTTAAGATTCTCTCTTTGTCTTTTGCTCTTGGCATTTTAATTATGATGTGTCTTGGTGTGGTCCTCTTTGGATTCCTTTTGTTTGGGGTTCTCTGCGCTTCCTGGACTTGGAAGTCTATTTCTTTCACCAGGTAGGGGAAGTTTTCTGTCATTATTTCTTCAAATAGGTTTTCAATATCTTGCCCTCTCTCTTCTTCTGGTACCCCTATAATTCTGATGTTGGTACGCTTGAAGTTGTCCCAGAGGCTCCTTACACTATCTTCGTATTTTTGGATTCTTTTTTCATTTTGCTTTTCCGGTTGGGTGTTTTTTGCTTCTTCGTATTTCAAATCTTTGACTTGATTCTTGCGATCCTCTGGTCTGCTGTTGGGAGTCTGTATAATATTCTTTATTTCAGTCCGTGTATGCTTAATTTCTAGTTGGTCCTTTATCACAACATCGAGGGTCTCACTAGATTTCTTAAGGATCTCAATACATTTATCGGCGGTTTCCATAAAATTCTTGAAAAATCTTAGAACCGTGGTTTTGAACTCTATATCCAGTCGTTTGCTGTCCTCCATTTCTGTCATTTGTGACCTGTTTCTTTGTCTTCGCATTTTGTCTGCTTCCCTGTGTTGGTAGAGTGGTTTTGTGTGCTAGGTGTCCTATAGGGCCCAGTGGCTCAGCCTCCCCAGTTACCTGAGGTGGACACTCTTGGTGCACCCCTTTGTGGGCTTTGTGCACAGTCTTGTTGTAGTTATGCCTTGATTGTTTTAGGTGTCACTGGGAGGAATTGACCTCCAGGCCAATTGGCAGTGAGAATCAGCTGTGTCTGCAGTGGGAGAACTTCTGTGCTGGAGACACCCTTCTGGGGCAAGACTTGCTTCAGTGGGGCTTTGGTGCTCACTGAGTCTGCCCCCTGAGTGTGTCCCTTATGGATCTGAGGAGTTGTAATCTGGATGGTCCCACTCTGACCACTGGGTACACTGGCTCTTGGATCTCTAAGGAGGTGCTAATTTAGCCTCTGCCTGAGGCTACCCAGCAGGAACTATGGAGAGATCTGCAGATTCCTCTTCTTTGTTTGGGGTTTGGAGGTGCCCAGATGAGGCCCAGCTGTGAAGCAGTGCAAGCTGCTGTGGGGCCTTGGGCCTTCTTTGGAAGTTCTGGGTCACTCTGACCCAGCTGCAGTTTGTTAGGTAATTTTCAGATTGCAAAGGGCCAGGTCATTCATATGCAAAAGCCTCTGCGGGGCGGGGCGGGGGGTGTCTCGGGGATCAACAGGGCGGAGCAAGCAGCTATGGCTGCTCCTCAGTCCTACCCTAAGAGGCCCCGAGTCTCAGTGTCCCGCAGTAATCGCTGCAAGCACCTCTGAGAGAAAGCCGCCCTCGAGTTCCGAGTTCTGCCCACTGCCAGACAGTCCAGTTTCTCCCTGTATGAGTCTGGGTCCCCAGAGACTTGCCTGGAACTAGAGTTCAGAGCAGTCCGCAGCTTGAGACTCCCTCCCGATTGAAAAAGACAACTGTGTCCTCAGTTGCCAGCCCTTTCCATGTGCGCCTCCGTACCTTTGCACTTTACTTCCACACCTCCTCTGAGTCTCAGTGTGCTTTTCTCTTTCCTTCTAGTTGTAGAATTTCCACTCAGCCAGCCTTCCTGTGGTTCTGGATGATGTTCGTTTTGTCTTTTAGTTGTATTTTTGAAGTGGTTGTGCGAGGCAGCAATTTCCGGTGTTTACCTATGCCACCATCTTGGTTTTTCCTGATTTCTACACTTTATTTCCAAAGATTATGTTAAGGGGCTGGACAGTATGAAAAGAGAAAATATCTTCTCTTGATTTTAAAGAACTTAAACTATAAGAAACATAGTAAGAGAAATGGAGGCATTCAGCATTTTTTTTCTCAGGAATTTTTAAAATGGTCAACATTGTTTTATAAAAGGAGATGCAAATACTTTTTCTTTTTGACACCACCTCTGCTTCAAACCCACTATGATTTTACAAGAAAAACAGAATGTTTTTTTGTAAAAAAATAATCAAAGGTAAAGGAATATTTCATTTAAAAAATACAAAAAACTAAACCTTGAGAAAGTACTAATACTTTTAGGCTGACAAATTTGTAGGCTGGCAAGTGGTTTGTAAAGAATCTGTGAGGCAGGGTATAGTCAAAGATGACAAAAATGGGGAAATATGTGTCTTGAAAAGCTTCATTTAGTTATGAGGGAACTTGGTTGTTTGAATCTATAGCTTCATTTTTTGACTTGTATTTTGCTACCCAACTTTTTAATTTTTTTTACGATATCTGTTTTTTACATTTACTAATACCATTTTAAAAGCTGATGTCATGTGGGATCTTTGGATGACAGTATCAGTGTAACTCAAATTCTGGTGTTTTAAAAGACTAATAGCCAGTTTGTTCTAGTGCAGTGATGGCGAACCTTTTGAGCTCGGCGTGTCAGCATTTTGAAAAACCCTAACTTAACTCTGGTGCCGTGTCACATATAGAAATTTTTTTGATATTTGCAACCATAGTATAAAAAAGATTTATATTTTTGATATTTATTTTATATATTTAAATGCCATTTAACAAAGAAAAATCAACCAAAAAAAATGAGTTCGCGTGTCACCTCTGACACACGTGTCATAGGTTCGCCATCACTTAGTAAAACAAAGACTTATATTTTTGATAATTATTTTATATATTTAAATGCCATTTAACAAAGAAAAATCAACCAAAAAAATGAGTTCGCGTGTCACCTCTGACACGCATGTCATAGGTTTGCCATCACTGTTCTAGGATATGAGGTTAACAAGTGAATAACTTTACAGAAGTGATGTAGCAGTTAATGCATTATAAGTAAGTAGAAATCCTGAATTTGTATGGGTGAACATAGCAGATATGAACATGTTCAAAACGTTAATAACACTTTGAGGTTGAGGCAATATTTTTAAAAGCCTTTAGGTCAGGCCTTTAGGTGTTTTTTTTTTTAAATCACCATTAAACCTGAGAACCCTGTGAAGTAGTATTGGCATTCCTTGAGTGTTATTAACCCATAAACAATACAGCAAAATGAAATGGAATTGAATAATTGCTAAAAGATGTTTATAAGTTGGAACAAATGTATATGCATATTCTGCTTAATATTTTTAATTTGTATAATGAAACGGAAACAATAACTTGTTCTTTTCAGGTTGTATTGGCTTTCGGTAAACAAGAAGCAGAAAGGAAGTTTGAAACTCTCTTAAATCACCTGTCACACCCTCCATCATTCACAACTGTCAGAGTAAATACTCATCTAGCCTCAGTGCAACATGTGAAAAATCTGTTATTTGATGAACTTCACAAGGTTTGTGCAAAATTTTATGTCATGTGCATGATTACATTTCTATAATCTATGTCATCTTGCTCCCCACTAAAATGCTGTGAATGATACAATACTGTTTTACAAATAAGGAAATTGAGGATCATGAATGTTAAATTCGCCAAGGTTACAAAGTGAGTGGTAGTACAGAACCTCTGAGCCACACTGGCCAGGTCCATTTCTATAGATGTCAAGTTTTGAGTAGATGACTATGTTATAAGAAGAACCAGCTGTGATATCTGAGTGTAAGACTTGGAGAAAAATTAATATGAGTTTTAATTGTTAACAGTGATAATTTCATTGAGAGTAATAACATTAGACATAATGTAAGCTGTTTCTCTAAGCAACTAAATTATTACTTTTATGTAAGCATGCATGTATGCTTTCAGCCAGTAGAAAGGAAACTATTCTGAGACCCCTCAGAGGTTTCCATAACTGAAGCAGATCCACATTCTTTTCTTTTCTAGCAAATTATTCCTGGAGCTTAGATATTCTAGTCTCCCAGTCTGTTGCGTATACAAGATATCCTGGGCTAGTATTGAGGATAAGGCAGACAGAATCACTCAGGGTGGGCTTTGAGTTCTTTCCTTAAAGGTTAAGACAGAGAAGGTTGGTTCCTAAGCATTAGGTAGGAAACTGGGGGTGGAGCAGTACCAATTGCTAGCAGGAAAGGGGACTTGGAGGAGGTTTTAGACTATAAATTTTCTTTCTCCTTTCATATTCCAAAGCTCCCATGTGACCTAAAGAGAAGTCTCGAATGGGATAAGAATAGGTGCTTTTTTGTCCCTACGTTTCTCTGGGCCACATACTGAAATTTAATGATTTATGATTTTATTTAGCTGGTAAGGATGTGGAGAAACTGGAACTTTCATACTTTGCTAGGGGGGATGTCAAATGGCTTGGCCTCTTTGGAAAACAATTTGTTGGTCTCCTAAAAAGTTACGCATAAACTTACTGTACAACCCAAGAGTGGAATGAAAATATGTGTTCATAAAAATGCTTAAACATGAATATTCATAGCAGCATTATTCATAAGATCTAAAAGATAAAAACTGTCCAAATGCCTATTAACTGATAAATAGAGAAACAAAATGTGGTATATTCATACAGTGGAGTACTATTCAGCAATGAAGGTAATGAACTGATACATGCTTCAACATTAGTGAACCTCATAAGCACCACAATAAGTGAAAGAAGCCAGCACAAATATTATATATATTGTTTGATTTCATTTATGTGAAATGTCTAGAAAAGACAAATTTATAGAGAAAGAAAGTAGGATAAGTGTTTGCCTGGGATTGGAGCTAGGAACATGGATTGACTACAAATGGGCATAAGGAATCTTTGTGTGGTGAGGAAATTATCTAAAACTGAATTGTGATGGTTGCACAATTCTTTAAGTCTACTAAAAATCATTGAATTGTGCATTTAAACTGGGTGCATTTTATGGTATATAAATTAAACCTCAATAACGATGTTTTTAAAAGGGCATGGGGCCCGGCCAGTGTTGCTCAGTGGTTGAGCACCGACCCATGAACCAAGAGGTCACCAGTTCGATTCCCAGTCAGGGCACATGTCCAGGTTGCGGGCTCAATCCCCAGTGACGGTGTGCAGGAGGCAGCTGATATATTTCTCTCTCATCATTGTTTCTACCTATCCCTCTTTTTCCCCCTCTCTCTAAAATCAATAAAAAACACATTTTAAAAAAAGAGCATAGTGAAGAAACAAACAGAAAAAGAAGCAGGTAACATGATTGGTTTAAAAATAAGTTTATTTGTGTTGTTTCATGAAAGTTAGGTACAAGTGTGTGGTTTTATGAAAGTTTTATTTTTGTATAATTTAAAAATCTGACAGAAAAGAGAAGAATAATCTCAGCTTGAAAAGGATTGATCTTTGTGTAAAATATTTCTGTAGTGTAAAGCAGATAGTACTTCTAAAATAAAACAAAAACAAATGACGAAGTTCAGTATCTTTCTTCTTGGAAAGATCAGCTTACCATCATCTGGATATTGTAAGACCATCAAACAATGAGAAAGAGAAGGAAAGGGAGAGGCAACTGATAGAATGAGAAGGAGGTTACCCTTCAAATTTCTTAGTACCTATCTGTTAGATATGGTTAGTCTGAAATATCCTTTGCCTGGAAGAAGCAGAAGTCAGGAGAGCTGTTGACTTGGTAGAAAAATGTAGTTAGATTTCTAATATATGAACAATTTATTTCTCTTATCAACTTACTAATAAGTTGATTTTAGAAGTTCTTTCCTAGATAGTGTATGGTTACTATGGTGCAATGCAAATACATATTGTTACTGTTCTTTCACGTAGTGTGTGAAAATTAATGAGTTGATAATTTCTAGTCTACATGGCAGAGACTTGTTCTCAAATATTTGCATGTTGCCCTTTGATGGAGTATGTAGTCCTTGCTATTCAATCCACTATTCTGCTCTTTTTTTTTCTGCTGTCTGGAGTGCCCAGTCATCTTCTGACTGCAATAGTGATGTGTTGGTACATATTTAACAGCCCATTTCTAGGAAAAATAACCCTTTGTGGTGTTTTGCTGATTTAAGTTGTGTAAATATTCCCACCGTGGTCAATTTCTTTTTAAAAAAATATTTTTATTGATTTCGGAGAGGAAAGAAGAGGGAGAGATAGAAACATCTATGATGAGAGAGAATCATTGATTGGCTACCTCCTGCACGCCCCCTACTGGGAATGGAGGCCACAACCTGGGCATGTACCCCTGACCAGAATTGAACCTGGGACCCTTCAGTCCGCAGACCGATGCTCTATCCACTGAGCAAAACTGGCTAGGGGTATGGTCAGTTTCAAGCTACCAGCATGACCATGGAGTTGGTAAGAGATGCACACAATAGACCAGGGGTCCTCAAACTACGGCCTGCGGGCCACATGTAAATACAAATATTGTATTTGTTCCCGTTTTGTTTTTTTACTTCAAAATAAGATATGTGCAGTGTGCATAGGAATTTGTTCATAGTTTTTTTTTTAAACTATAGTCCGGCCCTCCAACGGTCTGAGGGACAGTGAACTGGCCCCCTGTTTAAAAAGTTTGAGGACCCCTGCTCTAACCCCTGAGCACACCGGCCAGGGCGGTAGCTCTAGTCTTAATTTTTGAGGAAACTCCACACAGATTCCCGCCAGCAGTGCTGAGGGCACCTGCCCCGCGGCCTCGCCCGCACGTGCTGTTGGATGACAGCCATTCCGGCAGGTGCGGGGCAGCTTTGATCTGCAGCTCCCTGACTCCCTGCCCTCTCCCACCCAGGAGGGCTCTGTGCGCCAGGCAGACAACCTTCAGGGAGGGGCAAGCTGCCAGGACGCTCGGTCGTCATCAGCGTGTCAGTGGGACCCAGAGCTCACCTGGTGCTCCCTCACCCAGTGAGCCTGGCGTGGAGCAGAGCTGGCCTGTGGGACCCCCAGCTGAGAACTGACCAGGCCTTTTGCCTCTTCGAAGAAAGGGGGGGCAGCAGAAGTGGGGGCGTGGGCTCTGCCACTGAGCTCCCAAGGGTCCCTGGCTCCACCCAGAAGTGTCTCAGCACCATCACTGACCACACAGCAGGGGGGCCTCCACCACTGAAAAAGAGCATAGTGAAGAAACAAACAGAAAAAGAAGCAGGTAACATGATTGGTTTAAAAATAAGTTTATTTGTGTTGTTTCATGAAAGTTAGGTACAAGTGTGTGGTTTTATGAAAGTTTTATTTTTGTATAATTTAAAAATCTGACAGAAAAGAGAAGAATAATCTCAGCTTGAAAAGGATTGATCTTTGTGTAAAATATTTCTGTAGTGTAAAGCAGATAGTACTTCTAAAATAAAACAAAAACAAATGACGAAGTTCAGTATCTTTCTTCTTGGAAAGATCAGCTTACCATCATCTGGATATTGTAAGACCATCAAACAATGAGAAAGAGAAGGAAAGGGAGAGGCAACTGATAGAATGAGAAGGAGGTTACCCTTCAAATTTCTTAGTACCTATCTGTTAGATATGGTTAGTCTGAAATATCCTTTGCCTGGAAGAAGCAGAAGTCAGGAGAGCTGTTGACTTGGTAGAAAAATGTAGTTAGATTTCTAATATATGAACAATTTATTTCTCTTATCAACTTACTAATAAGTTGATTTTAGAAGTTCTTTCCTAGATAGTGTATGGTTACTATGGTGCAATGCAAATACATATTGTTACTGTTCTTTCACGTAGTGTGTGAAAATTAATGAGTTGATAATTTCTAGTCTACATGGCAGAGACTTGTTCTCAAATATTTGCATGTTGCCCTTTGATGGAGTATGTAGTCCTTGCTATTCAATCCACTATTCTGCTCTTTTTTTTTCTGCTGTCTGGAGTGCCCAGTCATCTTCTGACTGCAATAGTGATGTGTTGGTACATATTTAACAGCCCATTTCTAGGAAAAATAACCCTTTGTGGTGTTTTGCTGATTTAAGTTGTGTAAATATTCCCACCGTGGTCAATTTCTTTTTAAAAAAATATTTTTATTGATTTCGGAGAGGAAAGAAGAGGGAGAGATAGAAACATCTATGATGAGAGAGAATCATTGATTGGCTACCTCCTGCACGCCCCCTACTGGGAACGGAGGCCACAACCTGGGCATGTACCCCTGACCAGAATTGAACCTGGGACCCTTCAGTCCGCAGACCGATGCTCTATCCACTGAGCAAAACTGGCTAGGGGTATGGTCAGTTTCAAGCTACCAGCATGACCATGGAGTTGGTAAGAGATGCACACAATAGACCAGGGGTCCTCAAACTACGGCCTGCGGGCCACATGTAAATACAAATATTGTATTTGTTCCCGTTTTGTTTTTTTACTTCAAAATAAGATATGTGCAGTGTGCATAGGAATTTGTTCATAGTTTTTTTTTTTTAAACTATAGTCCGGCCCTCCAACGGTCTGAGGGGCAGTGAACTGGCCCCCTGTTTAAAAAGTTTGAGGATCCCTGCAGTAGACTATGATGAGACTGTTTGAATTGGCGTCAGCACCTGTACCACTGGCCCTGAACCTATTTCCAGTCTGATGGCCAAGTATGATAGAGGATACTGAAAATCCTGAACTTTGCCAAAAAACATGCATTTCCCTCATCAAATTTGACATGGTATAGTGATAGTGCCTTCTTTTTAAAAGTACATCACTTAAGGTAAACATATTTTGTATTTTTGAAGCCAAACGGTAAGCAAAATTGAGTGTTATAAGGAAGTCAGGACAGCATAGGGAATATAGTCAGTAATATTATAATAACTAGTTATGGTGCCAGGTGGGTACTATACTTATGTAAAGTATAAAGTAAAGTATAAAATTATCTAACATAATGGCATACACATGAAACAAGTAATATTGAATATCAACTGTAATTGGAAAAAAAAAAGTCAGGATACTTCAAAGTCAAATTACAGAGAACACATAGTTGTTTTGAAGTCTAATTTTTATTGTATCCCATGGAATAACATGAAAGTATCCCTAACCACGCTTCATCCTCTGTTAGGTAATGATACTGAAAAGCTCCATAAATTGAAATTTATCAAATATGTTGATTGCTTTATAATTTCTGTGTGTTTACTTTTAACAGCAGTTTAATGGGTTAACTGTTCCTATTCTTCAACATCCAGACCTTCAGGATGTCTTACTTATTCCTGTTATTGGACCTAGGTTTGTAATTATTTCACTTTCAAATTCTGTTATTCTAAGTAAAAGTTATCACAGGTTTTTTATTTACTGTTTGGTGACAATACTGAGTTTCTCCATTAATAGTACTTTCTATAGGTAGGAATTCACAAATTTGTAAATGCTGACTTCCATACTCTATTTTGGAAAACATTACATACCAAAGGTTTGTAATATTTTAATGTGAAAAATTATAAGGAGATTTTCATCTAAAAAGTGAAAATCTTGGGGATCGAGCCCGCGAGCCAGGCATGTGCCCTGACAGGAATCAAACCATGACCTTCTGGTTCATATGTCGTCGCTAAACCACTGAGTCACACTGGCCGGGCTCTATTCTCTGTACTGGCACTCTGTACGTTGAATTTCCCGTGCAGACACTCTTTGTGTTGGGGCACCCCAAGACAACCGTCAGGTTTGGTGATTGGTCAGAAGTCACAGGACTCAGCATGTAGTCATGCTCATGGGGAAGATTTATTGCACAAAAAGATCCAAAAGCAAAACCAGCAAAAGGAAAAAGGTGCATGGGCAAAGTCTTAGAGGAAGCCAGCCACAAGCTTCTGAGTCCTCTCCCCATGGAGTTAGGATGTGCTTAATTTCTCCAGCACCCTGTGACATGTGTAACATGGTTGTCTAGTAGGGAAGCGCATTAGAGATTCAGTGCCCAAAGTTCTTATTGGTTGTTGGTCATGTAGGCACCCTCTGCCTAGCATGTACCAAAATTCCAGGCTCCCAAAAAGAAAGCAGGTTGTTCACAATAAACTTCCTTGCTTGTATGAACAGGTTGGGAACAATATACCACTCCTACTATTAGGGAAAGTTTTGTGTCAGTGTCAGGAACTTTATCTCAAAGTTTCCAGGTGCCAACCAAGGGCCAACCTTGTAAGGAGGCCTTTCTAAGAATAGTCTCAAGCCTGTTGTGTTAACTCTTATTTTAGAGGATGTAGTATCGTTTATTTACTGAGCTTTGCAAGTTTACTTTTCTGTCTTTATTTTTATAATATAACTTTTTATTTCAGAGGGAGAGAGAGGTAGAAACATCAGTGATGAGAGAGAATCATCAATCGGCTGCCTCCTGCATGCCCCACACTGAGGATCAAGCCCGAAACCTGGGTAGGTGCCCTGACCTGCAATTGAACCGTGGCCTCCTGGTTCATGGGTGGATGCTCAACCACTGAGCCACTTCAGCCAGGCTCTTTTTCTTTTTTTTTTTTATCTTGTTCTTATATCCCTTTTTTGAGGTTTTTTCTTTTAGCATCTTGGAAAATATAGAGAAGTATTTGAAAAATTTCCCTTTTTTTGTTGTACTTTAAAAAAATCTGCCTTTTACTTTTTTATTATGGCTTTGTTTTTCTTGTACTAGCTGTGCATGGGCCCCATGTTGAATGAATACTTTTTGCTTCTCTAATTGAATGGAACAGTTACATTCACATAGACACACTTAGTTTGCAATTTGCCAGAGGATGATACAGAATGGGATGAAATTTGTGCCTAGACAACTAATCAAATGTGTTTTTTTAGAAATACTTTCACAAAGTCCTCACTAGTGACACATCTCTAACCCTGGTAAGCAGAGCTGATAAAGTCTGAGGCTCTCTGGGAAGGCTTTCTGCTTATAGTTTTTTTGTTTTGGGTTTAAATTTTGTTTGTGCTTATTAGTTAACTTGGGTAAGGAGCAAGAAAGTTGATTGCTATTTTCCTTCTTCTCCTTCACCTACTTCTAGGCAGTTTATCCACATTTGTTAGAGAAAACATTGTCTGCTTGTGCCCATTCTGACAGTCCAGTTCCTCTCAGCTTTATCTGCTGTGAACAATGCCTGGAAAGGCATTTTCAGTCTCCTTTTTTCTACGTGAACTGCTAGTCCTGGTTCTAAGTAATAAATATGTGATGAGGCCCCAGGAGCCTTTTCTTGTCAGAAACATTCATACCCTGTTGAGGAACTAGATTTGATTCAGATTTCACTGTGTCAGGAAATTATTCTTCATCATTGAAATTTCTTAATTTTATTGCAAATGGAATTTTGTTCTCAGATTTTTGTTTTTCTCCTCCCCCTCCATTTCTATGCGCTTCAATAAAAAATACATTCTTACTCTTACTCGAAGTTCAATATCACACAACTGTTTAAAATACCAAAATATAGGTTAAACTTTATTTATAGGTAGTAAATAATTTTAAAAGTAATTTTGCATCATAAATGTAGGCTCCCTCAGTTTATTAATATGATATTAAATATACTGATCAAGTGTATTTAAGAGTTGGAAAGGTTTTATCATTAGTAATTTAATGAGATGGAACATATGGTTGTAAGGCTAAATGTCATGTTATCAATATCAACTTTATTGAAAATCTTAGAAAAAATTGAATACTAGGCTTCTCTTGTTACAAAAATGTTTTTAACATTATGTCCCCACCAGCATTTTCTAAAGAATGCATTTAGATCAGTACAGTTTTTTTTAGTCCAATATTCAATTTGTAATTGTTAAGGATTTCTACATTTTCTCTGTTAGTGCCCTTCCCTTTTTGATAAAAATTGCAACAAAATATAGGGTGTCCCAAATTGTATACACATACTTTGAATAATTATAAAGGCAGTGTTTATTACAATACATTTCATTTTCAAAATTGAGCTATCAGCTGTTAAACTATGTATATATTTTTTGGGACACCCTGTATTTGCAGCAGGTCAGGAAATTTACTTTCTTCACATTTGAATACACATTTCAATAGAATAAACCCCTTGAGATCCAAATAAGGCTGGATTTGCCCTTCTTGTTCAGCCTTCTTTTTATTTTAATTAATTAATTAATTAATTAAAATAAATCTTTATTGTTCAGATTTTTACAGTTGTTCCTCTTTTTTCCCCCATAGCTCCCCTCCACCCAGTTCTCACCCCACCCCCTACACTTACCCCCCACTGTCCTCGTCCATAGGTGTACAATTTTTGTCCAGTCTCTTCCCGCACCCCCCACACC